GCAGCTACTTGAGAAGAAAATTCAGAAGCCAAAATTGTGTGGAGGTTGAGGTTTTGTTGGTTTGGCTCTCTGAATACTCTGAGAAGCAATTCAAAATTGTCATGATGTAGGTCTCTTTTCTGTTAAAACGTGTACTTTAGATACTTACAGGAGAAAAAAAGTTGTTCCAGTGGCTAGCCTTCTGAGATCCAGAAAATGAATCTGAGCTCCAAACTGACTTTATTTCTTTTGTGAAGGGCACCCTGGGCTGTGGAGGATGCTGAGTTTTGAAGCAACCAACAGACAAGACTTCTCTTTAGCTCCTGGTTCCAACTGATGCAGAGTTGGGCAGGTTTCAGTCGATGAGTGAGTTCACCCAGGGGCACGTGGAAGTTCTCAGAAGAAAGGTGGCTAGGAAAATACTAATGTTTTTTTGTGGAGCATGCAATATGGGGGACACGGTGCTGCCTGAGGTAGAAGGCTTTGCTTAGATCTAAGTAGTCTCAGCTTGTGCTCCAGTCTTGCCAACAACTGTTTAAAGATTAAGTGCAATACAGCATAGCACCAACAAGGGCGTTTGTCAAACTAGGTGCAATGTGTGGTGAAATGAATAAAATGAGAAGTTTGAAAAGAAAAGTAGTTCTTTAATTTTTTTTCAATGGAAGCTTACATCATAAAGTAGAATTCCTTCTCGGGAACATTCTCTGATAGTCTAGGTTTGTGATGGATAAAGGGAAAAAAAAAGGTGAGGGAGGTCAATCAAAAGAGTAGTCCCCTTCTGGATTATGATGTCTATTATGTAAATTAGCACTCCATTTCTGTCATTTCAGGAGGCCTTAGGACTGTACAACTAGAGTCCAAAAAGCACAAAGTGTCACAGAAACAGAATGGATTAATGAGATTTGTTGTACTACTTGGTGAGGTTTCCTGCAGGTCTGATGTCTGTAGGCTGGAAGATGCACTTCACTGGTTTTACTGTCTGCTTGCATCACAAATTCCTGCAGACAGTGCTAGGTGTAGCAGTGGCTAGTCCCAGGGAGGTCATGGGCTTACTCAGAGTCATGGGTGCTGGGCTTGGGGGTGGTCTTCTTACCCTTGCACAGCACTGAGCACACAGTCAGGGCTGTGCTGAGAAGAGGTTTGTAGATGTCCTCCTGATCTGTGGAGTTGAGTGTCTGTAAAGTCACTGGAGCAATAGCTGGAGGCCTGCTAAAGGCATGGATGGAGCAGGGAGCTGGTTGGAAGATCCACAGCAGACACTGGGATTTGGGTAGAATTTTGTAACATCTGACAGGTGAGGTGTGGCAGTCGTGGTTTAGTCTGTAGTGGAAAGCATACCTGTGATGACAACATGATTTAGAGGCATGTGGTTGAGCTTTGGCAGCACAAGTCTAACCAGAGGTTTTTATGTGTACTTTTAGAGCTGCTAGATGGACAGCACACACGTTTCTGAACACACATGGTTCTTCTGTAGAAAAACGATGAAAACCATTTATCTACTTATGGGCTGAAATTATTAGTTGCATTCACCAGAGAGAAGTTGTCTGAGGCTGCCTGGGTTGGAATATGTGTTGTGCTTAAGGTACTTGTTTTGAGTAAGACAGTGATGAACATACATTGCAAGTTCCCAAATTTCCTTGGTCCTCCTAGAGACCAAGGAGACGTAAGGACAACATCTTTTAGTATTTTATTGCTCTCCTATGGGTTTCATAGGGAATGATCTCCTCACGTTGACCACTCTGGCAATGCAGCAGTTTGCCATGGCCACCAGTGAGAGTTTGGATTACAGTTATACTTTCTGATAATGAGAACTTGAAAGATGGCAGATGGATACGAGTTTCACCAAGTACTTGTGCACTGATCTGGCTTTGTCTTTCTGGATCATATTTGCTTATTTGGGTTGGTATCCAAATAACGTTTGCGTGTACCATATGTTTAGCACGCTGGTGAAGAGCGTTGCCTGTCGGATACTCAGCTTGGGTACGAGTTTTTTAGCATATGGAAGAAGTGCCCATTGGCAACAGTGAAAGGGCTTTGCACATGGGGACTTCACAGCCTCCTCATACAGGAAAAACAGCATTCTGTGGTAGAGATGTCCTTTGGAAACTCCTGTTTGTCAGCTGTGATATTTGGGCCTCCCCTTGTACCATTTCACAATATTTCCTCTTGTCAAATTTAATCTCCAACTGTTTTCAAGTTATACTGGGAAGGAGACATGAAATGTTGAGTGTGAGAGAGGGATCTTTTTATGTCATCATAGGATGGTTTGGGTTGAAAGGGCCTTAAAGATCATGTAGTCCCATGGGCAGGGACACCTCCCACCACACCAGGTTGCTGAAAACCCCATCAGACCTAGTCTTGAACACAACAAGTGGTGCAGCAACTGCCCTGGGCAACTCGGGCCAGCATCTCAACCACCATCATAAGGAAGTTCTTCCTGATTTCTAATCTAAATCTAACCTTTTTCATTTATTTGCATTATTTCTGAAAACTGTTTGTCTTTGGCTTGATGGAGGACCTCTGTGACTGGTGTTACATATTATTTACCTTTCTTAGGTAGATTGATAGCCATATAAATCTGTAAGGAGAGTCACTGCAAAAGTGTATGTCAACAGATGCAGAAAATAAATGAATGTAGTAAATATTTCCTGTTTGTTTGCAGAAAGTGGCCTTTAGACACTGCAGTGCGTTTTCCTGTGTCTGTATACAATTAATAAGCACAAACTGTATTGTACCATTGTATGCAAATATGATTGATGATAATTTAAGAGAGGAGATAAAGTAATATCCTCTAGCTTACCTGCTGTGTCAGTTCTGCCTCGTTTTAGCTATCTTCTGGGTGTTTCTTTTTCACTGAAATCCAAAGAACTTAAATAAACTGAAGTTTCCTACCACCTTTTAGGCTTGTGAAGTAGGAAAACATTGAGATGTGTGACACACCCATCTCTGCTGACTAAAGAATTAATAAGTTTTTCAAGTTTAATGGGGAAGATTCAGCTTCCCATTGTTTTCCAGAGAACGTAACATCAACTCTTAACTGTAATTCACAATGTGATTACAACAATTATTCTTTATCATTAACGTTAATAATATGCATATTAACCTCCGATGTAGCCTGAATCAATACTGCAGTTTGGGAGATGTGACCCTTGGACAGCTATGTCTAAATATTGATTTCATTGTCATTTGTATAAGGTGTGAAACAAATTGCATGCCTCCCTAATATCATTAATGTAGCCCCATTGAGCTACTCAATTTATGGCTTCTTATAATGCTTGAAAAGCATTACAGAATTATTGAAGACATGGTGAAATACAGTTGCTTAGTGTGCTGGGTTTGATGGTGGGAGGCTGAGGCCAACACTCAATAGCTTTCAGGCACTTCTCTGTCCAGAGAAAGTCCAGAGACTGGAACGAGCCACTCTGTAGCATGCAACTCGGTTGTTAATTTCCCTCAGACAAAGTTCCCTTGGGTGCTGGGAGCAGAAATTTATTCTACAGCTTTCTACTTACGTATTTGTAGCCTTACGTGCAGATAATGCATATGCTTGTGTTCTTTGCCAAAGGCAAATGTTGTTCTCTTCGATTGCTGGAGGAAATCAAAATAGGTAGGAGGGATAGCGTCCCCCTGTCTTGGCCAGCATTTATAGTGGTTGTCATTACTGTCATAATTTGAAATATGAGTTAAATAATTTACTCCACACTGTGATTTCTCCCTTTATTGCCTTTTTATTGCGACTGTCCTCTCGCCATGCCCCTCATGTTTTCATTACTGCTCCTTCCATCATAGCAGTTCCTCAGATCTTCCTCGCCTTCTTACCCTTCCAGGGAATTTCAGGGTTGCCCTGAAACCCTGGAGAAATCAATCGTCCCTTCTTTTGCTCACTTCCTCTTCAGAGAGCTTTTTTTTTTCTTTTTTTTTCCACAAGCAAACTCATGTTAAGCATGAGATTCAGGTGTCTACTTTCCTTCTCCTTTCCAAATGCACACCTTAGCCTTGTGGATATCTGTGAAAGGCTTAGGGTAAATTTCTCGTCTTCCTGCTAACTTTCAGTCGGGATCTCTTTTCTTGCTCTGTGCTTCCTATCTGAGCAGTGCTCACCTGCAGTCTTTGGCTATAAGCTGCTTATTTCACATTCAGGGGCACCTCCCCACATAGACACATGTCCTTTCCCTGTTCTTCTTCTTTAGCTTAAAAAAAGAAAAAAATCAACTTTCATATCCAGTCTGGGTTACTGCTTCCATTAGCTACATGTTACATTTTCAAAGCAGCATCTTCATGCTTTCTCCTGTGGTGGCTTTCACGCTGAGGGACCTTCTTGTAAATATATGCAAAGCTACTTCATTGTGCTTTAATGTATACAAAAATCTCAACCACGTTTGAGCTTCTGCTGTGCTGAGACTACAGCCCATCATTCCAGCTGATATCGTCTCATTGTTTAATTGTACTTGCCCATTTTCTCTGGTGTTAGGCTTTTATCTGAGGCTGTCTTAAGGCTTTTTTGATTTTGGGGATAGGATTTGTACAGCGTGAAACATGTAGGGCATAGTAATCTTTGGATAAGTATCATAGGTGATGTGTTATTACAAATAATATGGAATAATACATTTCCTACATATCAAAGTGCTCTAATTATGTTATCATTACAGTCAATGTGGGACTGGCACCAATAAAGTAAAGTTCTCTTAGCTGTCTCAGAAGGGTGCTCAGCACCTTTTAGGAACATGCTGGTTTTCCATCAGAAAAATCTCTGTGGTGATTTTTTTCTTTTCTATATTCTCTTTTTTTTTTTTTTTTTAAGACAAAAAGGATGTTCTTTTAGGATTATAGAGATGAACAGACTGTTATGATCATCTTGAATATAATACAGACCATGGGACTTCCCTGAATTAATTCCTGAGAGAATTGCAATGCAGGGGGGGGAAAAAAAAAAAAGAGAAAGAATAACTAATTTTTGTTTAAACCTTGCTCATTGTGGGTTTTCTTAGTTCATAATTTTTTTCCCGAATTTTCTCTTCTAGGTAAAAGTGACCCCTTTTGTGTAGTTGAATTGAACAATGACAGGCTGCTGACACACACCGTCTACAAGAACCTCAATCCGGAATGGAACAAAGTCTTCACATTGTAGGTGTTTGGCTTTTTGGGAGTGTTTGGGGGGGAAATGGGGTTTGGGTTTTTTTGGGGTGAGCAGGAGGTGTTTTGAAGGAGGTGAACATGTGAATCAAAGATGCCTACTGCTGATTCTGAAGAAAGACAGTGATGACATGCTGATATTTCTAAACCAAGCAGCTGAATACCTTTTTTTTTGAGGATTACAAACATGAAAAAAATTAGAAGAAGAGGTAACATTTTAAAGATAAAAAAGCAAGGTCTGTTTCTTGGAAACCAGATAAGAGTGATACTAAGTACTCCAGGGTCCTGACAGCTTTAGTGAGAATTTCAAGGGCCAAATTCTGGATTTGGCCCTGAAGTTTTGGGTGGAAAAGAGGATATTGTAATTAGGACCTTCATTAAAATGTTGTTAACTAAACTATAAAATAACTATATGAAAGAAGGAATTTTAAATGCATTAAAACTTCTCTGAATTACGAGCAGGTATTTTCCACTAGTTCTTCCCATGTACCCACTGCACTTCTCAGAACACCATCTACAGTCAGACTAGTACAGTTTATTGAGAAGTAGTGTGGCTGGGTTTCTATATCCTTCTGTTATTTTGAAGACAGTAGAAGACTTTGACAAAGTAGGAAAAAGACCCTCCACAATCAAAATGTTCCTGTTTTTTTGTCTTCCTCAGTTGCTTCTCTTTCACCCTGCTCCTTTCTGACTGCAGCGTGATGCCAAGGAGTAGGAAACTGATCAGCTGCAGGTTTCTCTGCTGCTTGAAATCTGCTAACAGTCCACTGCAAAACCAAGCTGTAGCTTTGTGCACACTTCTTCACTTTATCATAAATGAAAAGACCGTGTTTTGCCCTTGATCTCAAAACTCAGTATGATTTTAGTTTCCTTTTTATTTTTTACTTGAAATCTGTCATTCCTATATTTGGCATCTGTGGCTTTCCTTGCCCTGAGTGAGCTTTCAGGAATCAGCTCAGAACAAAAGGGAAAAATCTCAGAACAGTTGTACTTCTCATTAGCTTATTAACATAGTCATTCTCATTTACGTATTTGCAAAACCACACTAAATTCTTCACTAATTTATTTTTAATTATCTACAAATAGAGCAAATAACTGATCAGCTTCTGCTGCCTCCGTCCTCTGCGTAAGAAATCGCCTGGTTTTGTAGAGGACAAAAGACTAATCAGGAATCAAATAGAAAAACTCAAAAGGCCTTCAAGGAGAGTTTTCACCTCTCTTCTATTTATATTTACATTGTCTATTTTATTCATCCTCAGACTTGTTATTTAGTTTTGGGGGAGCAATCCAGTGTCATCTGGAGGCATGTATTTTACTGAAGTTAAACTGCTTTGCTCGAGTTCGTATTTCCTGGATCAGCCATTTGATCAAAGAGGAGTTCTCTCAAGAAATTTGGGGTTTTTTTTTCCTCTGAATAAGGAGTGTTAATTTTTCACATGAACATTTACAGTGTACAGTGACATGGGCTGTGCATGGTGGTAGCATGTTTAATAGCTCGCAGGCAAAAAACAGGAGCTGCTGAAAAAATGCATCGTTTCGTATTGCTTGTTCCTAATTTGTTGTAAAAACTTGTATATTTGTGATTAAGGAAGGATTTCAGAACTAAAGAGTTGTGAATGAATCAAAGCATTCTGAATGAATTAAAGAATTCTGAAGATAAATTCTGAACTGGGAACTACAGGACTCTGGAAGGTGATGGTGACTGTTCTCAGTGCAGCGATGGGCTCGCCTAGCTGGTGACTGTTGTTGCCCGCTCGGACGTGTGGCTCTGGGGGTGTTCGCAGCGTTTGCAGGGGCTGCTGCAGGCAGAGCAGCCGTGCCCAGGGCAGCCTTTCAGCCAGCCTTTCAGCCAGCCGTTCAGCCAGCCTTTCAGGGCTCTCCCTTTCGCTCCAGCCGTTCATCCAGCCTTTCAGGGCTCTCCCTCCTGCTGCTGGCCGCTGCGAATCCCCCGCGCCGCTCCGCTCCTCGCAGCTCGGCAGCGCGGACCCCAGGCAGGGGAGTTAAAGCAACATCCTTCAGAAAACTTCTGCCGGGGGAGCCCGGCAGCGAGGCAGGGGCCCCGCAGCCCCCAGAGCCGCTCGGCTGGCCGGGGGG